CCTCCAACATGCTAATGGTTAAAGGACTGCAAAATTCTCATTTTTCTGAGCTGTGAGAGAGATATTTGCCAGCATCTCCACTAGGTATTATGAAACAAAAATGCTAAATCTAAAATAAAATATGCCCAAATCTCCCCTTCCACTTTTTTTTGGCTATTACTTGAAATGCGAGCTATTTCCTATTGCATTTTAAGAAATCATTAGAATTTTATAAATCTATTATTATCAAATAAGAAATTCCATTAATCCATGCATATAGTTATTCATTAATTCAATAACTATTTTTAATGAGTTTACCTCCACCAAACGACTTTGTTTCGGGTTATAAAAATAAAGGAAAGATAATTTCTCATCCTTACAACTGGCGGAGAAGATAAAGCATCAGCATAAAGCAGGTTTTCCAGGACAGTACACACATATTTATTGAAGAGGACTTTTGGTTTTCCAGGACAGTACACACATATTTATTGAAGAGGACTTTTGAGTCCCACGTCAGGCTTCCTGCATGGAGCCTGCTTCTCCCTCTGCCTGTGTTTCTGTGTCTCTCATGAATTTATTTATAAAATCTTTGAAAAAAAAAAAAAGTTCTGGCCTCCAGGACAATACTAATTATTTTTTAAAGATTTTTATTTACTTATTTATTTTAGAGAGAGCTTGTGCATGAGCAGGGGGAGGGGCCGAGGGGGAGGAAGAGAGAAAGAATCTCAAGCAGACTCTGTGCTGAGTGTGGAGCCTGATGCAGGGCTCCATCTCACAACCCTGAGATCATGACCTGAGTGGAAAGCAAGAGTGGGTCAATTTAGCTGACTGAGCCACTGAGGCATTCCATTAATTGTTTATGGCATTTAAGGTAAAGTATCTATGCCCCAAATTTAGTAAGGATGATGGAATGCCCAGTTTGGTTCCCACACTCATGATATTGGTGAGGTTCAATGTTTCATGGATGAAAAAAATGAAAATATTTCTCAGAAGTCAGTAAAGAGGGAAATTAAGACTGGAAGGAAAAAAAATGTGAAATCCACTGTGGAATGTTATATCAAGATTCAAAGAAGTAAAACTATAGTTTTTATCTTTAATGCAAGCTTTATAATATAGAGATTAAGAGAAATATGTGAATCAGACAATGCATTAGAGATAACAATCATTTTTCTTAGTATATTTTCCTCAAGAAAATAAATGCAAAACTCATGGATAAGTAGTATCACCAAGTATGAATGAGTACTCTGGTTCCAAGTGTCTTTCCTCCTTCATGTCCTCCTTTTCTTCCTTCCTTCCTTTTCCTTCCTTCCTTCCTTCCTTCCTTCCTTCCTTCCTTCCTTCCTTCCTTCCTTCCTTCCTTCCCTCTTTTGTTCCTTCCTCCCTTCTTTCCTTCCTCTCCTCCTCCCCACCCCACCCCTAGCCTTTTATGGTTTTTGTTGTTGTTGTTTTTAAGCCAGTTTCAGTCAATACTTTCTGGAATTTCTAGGTCACCTGCTGTGACTATTTGATTTCCTAAATTTCTTTCTACTTAAAACATGATTAAGGCACAGATTTGTTTTACATGATTTTTTAATTATTTGTGTTTGGAAAACATTCGGATAGCACTTGAGATTATTTGAGATACCCGAGGTGCTAAAAAATAAAGTTTGCTCTTCTCTTTCCTTGAACACACTTTCAATTTTTTTCTTTTCTTTTCTTTTCTTTCTTTCTTTCTTTCTTTCTTTCTTTCTTTCTTTCTTTCTTTCTTTCTTTCTTCTTTCTTTTTTTTTTTAAGGATTCAGACAAAAGAAACCAAAGCTTTTGCTGACTTTGTAACATCATTTGGGTAAATAAATAGCATGGGTTCTGGATTCTTCTGTTCCCTATTAAAAACACAAAAGTATAAAAATTAAAAGCATAACTTTTTCTTAGGAAATGTTGGTTTATTCCATTATGTTTTCTACTCTCAAAACAGAGATTACAATTAAAAGCATAAGTTTTCCTTGGGAAATATGTTGGCTTTCTCAGAAATCTGAAGGAAGCCAGCTGAGATAATGGCTTTTCAGTTTCCTTTTCACACAATTATAGTTTACAACAAATTTTTTTCAGGAAGACAACTTGGCTTCAGTTTGGCTGAATGGTTAAAGAAACTTTCTGAACAAAACAAAACAAAAACTTTATCTTTCTCAGACACATTTATAATATAATAGTAGATGAGCTTTGAGTTGCTTCAGCTTGGGTTCAAATTCAACCTCTTAAAAAAAAAAAAAACAAATTCAACCTCTTTCAAATTTTAGACTCAGTTACTCCATTTGTAAAATGGGTACCACCATACTTACCCCTACGGGTTATTGTAGAAATTAAATAAGATACATTAAAATGCTTAGTCTAGCTTACGAGCATTTAATAACTGGTGCCTATTATTATGATCAAGGTGGGAAAGAACCTGATACTATCTATCCAAGCCTTACCCAAAACACGATCCTCTTCAACATCACAGACCAGTGGTTGATCCCTCCCTTCTTTAATAACACCAGCTGAACCCCAAACCTAGCCACAGAGCTCTGTTCTCTGTGTGAAACTCTTTTTCCTGTCCTTCACCTCCTTGATCACAGCCATTCAACCCTGTGATGTCATCTCATACGTGGCCTCATCTCTATGTAAAACACCACCAGGTCCTCCCAACCTTTCTCATCATCCTGGCCACTTGCTATGGATCCTCTTTAATTGCGTATACTGAATCTAAGAAAGGTTATGTCAGGTAGATATGTTGGGGTTTTTCCCTAATCTCCCTAAACATGAGAAACCGAAGCATAGAGTGTGTCAGGGTGGAGCAGAATTCTAGGCCAGGGTTCTTTCTACTAGACAGTAATATTGTAAGCCTCTTTTCTTCCCAGAGTGGGCCAGGGTAAGGGTCTTTATAAAAAACAAAATTCTGAGACTTTTTCTGTCCTTAAAAGTGTTTTCACCATCCATTTTAAATTTTAATTCAGTTATGGCAATGTTTTCTACATTGTGGAAACTGATTATTTTGTGTCGGTAAGGGACAAATTACTTTTATTTTTATATTTATAAATTGTCATAATACATATTAGAAAAGACACTATTGGTGCTCCAAACCCATGATTTTATAGCTATTATTGCTTATGATGAGAAGTAGGCAAAGGAGGGAACTCAAAGGAGCCTGGGAATTTGAGGAAAAACGCTGGAGAAAGCAAACTAAAATGGTTTTGGATTTATCTTCATTTTTTGTTTCTTACTGTACAAATAGGACTTAGCATCTTTTCCCTTTTGTGTTATGTTTAGTAACAAGGACCCTAATGTGAAGGAATGAGCACAGTGAACCCTAGAATTATATGCCACTAGGATGAGAATCTTAGAAGGAGAAGAATATTAGAATATGTTTGGCAAATGATTTGTCATCATTATTCAGAACAAGTATTTGACAGCAAATAATAGAAAACCCTGCAAACAATAGCATACAGGCTTATTTATGTCATGCGACTAAACATCCAGAACTAAAATTGTGGCTCAAGACTTCAATGGGCATACAGACATTTTTCATTTTCCTTAATATCCTCAAAAGTTGTAACTTCATGCTCCCAAAAGAGCTGCTGCTCCAGGCATCCAATCTGTTCTGAGCAAAAATAGTGGGAAGAGAAAGGCAAAGAATGTAGCAGAGAAGCAAAGCTATCTCAGAGCCCCCCAACTACTGTCTTATGGACCAGAGCTGTGCCACAAGACCAGCCCTTAATGCAAAGGAGTTGGAGAAAGTAAATATTTTAAATATTTATTTATTTATTTTGAGAGAGAGTGTGTGTGCATGTGCACATGCATGCAGCGGGGAGGGGCAGAGGGAGAAGGAGAGAGAATCTCAAGCCGACTCCCTGCTGAGCATGGAGCCTGATGTGGAGCTCAGTCTCACCCCTTGCCCCTGCCCCGAGATATGACCTGAGCAGAGAAATCAAGAGCCAAACATTTAACTGATTGAGTCACCCAGGTGCCCCAAAAGTAAGTATTTTAAACCAGGAATCTTGCGACCTTCCAACTCAGTCAAGGTTCTCTTTGTAAGTTTTGAAGTGACCATCATATCAGCTGAGCAACGAGCAATATCTGCTTCCCAAGTGAACAAAATTCAGGGAATTTCTTCTCCCCTGGGGTATCCAAAGGAAGTATAGACTATTCAATACACGTCGTAGAGTTAAAAATATTAATACTTACTAGGTATTTTTGCTATTTAAAGTGCATAAATTAGGTTAGTGTTTATGATAGGCAGTAGTTAGATAGGAAAATTCAGATGCCCTGAATTATTCTACAGTATTTTTCATGGGATAATTTGGTGTTCATCATAAAAGGATGTTTTAGAAACAAGAGACCAATATTCTAGTTTATTATTCAGTAAATACATATGAATGAATGCTGAGGACACAGGTATTACTAAGATACTTAAGGTCCTCAAATCCATGGATGTGTATTCTGGTGTTTGAAGATTGCTCATATTCATGTGAATTAATATGTAAATTATTATTAATAAATAAATGAAATCATGCCACATAGTGATACATTCCTGGAAGGAAATAGAATGAGGTGATATGGTGGGGCGCCTGGGTGGCTGACTCCGTTAGACATCTGACTCTTGATTTCGGCTTAGGTCATGATCTTCGAGTTGTGAGATCGAGCCCTATGTTGGGCTCCCCACTCAGCGTGGAGTCTGCTTCAGATTCTCTCTCCCTCTGCCTCTGCTCTTCCCCACCCTTGTGCTTGCGTGCCCATGTGCACTGCTTGCTCTCTCTCTCTCTCTCTCAAAATAAGTAAATAAAATCTTTAAGAAAAAAAAAAGAATGAGATGATGTTGGCACAGGATGGCATCTCCTCGTTGATCATAGCTGTGTGACATTGGGGAAACCCTTCAATCGAAATGGGCTCCAGTTTTCTGAAGAGTCAAATATAGTGATATGAGTAGGTGGATCAGGTGGATCAGAGGATCCTAGGAGGCTCCTTCCCACTCTGAGATCTGTGTCTCCCCTCTGATTCTCTTTCAGGAACTGCAGACACGCAGCAAAGGAGAAAAGAAGAGACAGGAATAGACAGAAAAGAGCAGCATTAAGAGAGAATGGAATCAGAAGAGGAAGGGGTATCTCTGTATGGTTGTATGACAGTCAACAGGACAAAATGTTGTCATTAAGAAATATACACCCATATGTACATATGTATTTAGCAATGTTAGCATTGTAACCAATTATATTTTCTGTCTTTTAAAACTTCCCATTAGAAGATGATCTAAAAAAATGGTGATCATTTTTTCATTTGTTGTTGTGGTAGTGTTTTCCTTAAGATTTAAAAGTCCTTGCAAGAAAAATTTCCTCCTACAAATCACTAATTGGATAATTTACTCTATCCTAGCACTCAGGCTTTGTTGCTATTAAGTCGCATACCAGATTTTTCCCTTTACAGAGATTTATGTGACATGGTATGAAATTCTCTGGAACTTTTCCACGGGGTTCTGGAATAGTTTGTTATTTTACTTTTCTCCACCAGGTGCAAAATGGGTTGATAACAACCAGAAGCTGACTTGTCAGTGCTGTTGTGCTCCAGTGGGAGCTTGGAAAAATACCAACACAAAACCACCACCACCACCACCACCACCAGCGTCACCTCCACCTGCATCATTGTGCGTTATTTTCTCCCTCTTGGATCGCCTTCTGAAGCACTTTAGATATTTGATGCATAAATATTGACACGTTTTTCAGAAAATTTTCCTTTGTTTTATTTATTTTTCTGATTATTTATGCTATTCTATGTGCCAAGTTCTTCCTTTTGGTTTTATTTTTCTCTACTACTAAAAGGGAGATCTTGAATTTGGGTAACTTTTAAGTGATTCATTTTTAGTTTTTCTAAGTCTGGAATCTGAGCCTTCCTTTACAATAGAGAAGCTTTCAAATCTATTTCCTTTTTTCTTTTCAAATTTCATAATATTTATTTACTCTTCTGTTTCTTTTTCAAATCCATTGGTCTTGGTTCAATTTAGTTCCACAAATACCTATTGATAATTTACTACACACTGACCATTTTTCAGTTATAAAAATGTAAAGGGTATTATTGTTGCTGCCCTCCTGCCAGTTAATATCAGTTCAGTTCTTTATAATTAATAAAGTGGCCTCATCTATGTTTCTCAGTTAATAATCTTATTAAATATATATGACAGTTAGGATTCAGTTTATAGATCAGAGAACTGGAGTCCAAGGAAAATAAATGGCCCTAAACGAATTAATAATCCAGCAAAGCCTTTTACTAGCTGATGTTCTTTTTGAGAAATTGTGATACTTTTTAGGATGGAAAAGCCCGTCTTCCTTAGAAACCAGAGCTTTTTGCATTTTCTTAGAGTGTCTTGTAGACTGCATTCTACATTTCAGACCTAAAAGCACGGGGGCGGGGTGGGGAGGGGTGGGGGGGGTAGGCGGGAATAATTTTGTTAGAGGTGCTGGAATGGAAAGAAGCACCTGAGTTCTACTTTAATTCTTTGATATTGACCTCAAACTAAAATGACCTTTGTCCAATAAAAGAGGCAAATTTGAAACTCCTTTTAAACTACGTGACTCACTTAAAAATATTTTTTATATGTAAACCTGTGCTTTAAAAAAACAATCTTTAATATCTAAAAAGTAGGAGAGAATTACTGAGTTTATGCCACTGTTGGGTACAATCTTTTCTTAAAGAAAAAGGCATCGATCCTTTTAAGTTTCTTTTTCCTTGATTTCTGATAAATTGAAAAATCATCTCACAAATTGCTATTTTTTGTTATGGCCTTCCCCTTTCTCTACACCCCTGTCCCCAGGATCTGAAGAATACTAATTTTTACTTACCACTACCAGATTTGTATTACCCAAAAAGTAAAGATAATATAAACAAGCATAATTACCATAGACTTAAATGCATAATTGTGAAATAAAGTATGGCTCTTATGGCATTAGAAAACATTTATGTTACTTAATGAGGAACCACAGAGAACATTCTAACTGCTGCTCTCCTCAAGCTAACTGAGAAATCAATTTATTGATATTTCAAAATCCTTTTCTTTTCTCAAGAGTAGCGATAGGGTTCAGGACTGCAAAAACACGGCACCTTGGCACAGTGAATATTGTCGGCTGAAGGAGTTTGAGAACATGGCAGAAGCAGGAAGGTCAGCTGCCCTCTGCCCTTCTCCCTGAAATGGGCCATAAAACCCTCACGTGAGAAATGCTTTATGCCCAAAAGAGAGGAGCACCCTTGTCTCTGAAGACAAAGTGACTCGAAGAAGAATCCAAACAAGCACTTATCCTCTCTAAGTTCCCCCAGTTTACTGCACTGACCTCATACTCCTTAACTCATCTTGGTCTTCCACGACCGACCCCATTCTTCCTCAGCCCTAGCACAAAACACTCAGATCTGTTTCTTTGGATCTTCATTTCCTGATGAGGGCTCCCATGTCATGTAAAACTTATATTAAGTAAATCTGTATGCTTTTTTCCCTATTATTCTGTCTTTGTCAGTTTAACTTTTCAGACCCAGCCAGAAACCTTTTATCGCTCCTACAGTAGCAAAGGTATAGCATGGGCTTAATATGAATCAAAATGATGGGATGATAAGAACCTAAAAAAAAAAAAAAAAAAAAAGCTCATAGCTGATTGACCATCTCTCTAATAATTGCAGGAGAATATCTTCTCTTTCTTCTTTATTTTTTAAAGAGACTGGCATTTGCCGAGGCACTGTCGTAGATGGGCAGGTTACATGACACTTCCCTGCAGCATAAATTCTGTGGATGTTTCTCTAATCGTACTAATTACATTACCAGATGTTCTCATCTTTCTTCTTTTGCCTTAATGGGACATGAATTTCCTGTTTTGAAATTGCCACCTATGTGTTATATTTGTCAAGTGTTTTAAACACTATCTGGTCCTTTATTTGCTTTTGAAAACACTCAAGTGGTCTAAAACTTGAACTTGACGTGAAGGCCAGGGATGACCGGGGTAGGAGTTATACTGTTAATTATACTTCTACTAACTATACTGTACTAGCGCAGTTATCTTGGACTTTCACAGGATGCCAGGCTTGACCTATCTATTTTTATTGTCACTATAAATAGAGTTTTCATAGGAAGCAGTTCACTGGAACAAGTTATTTCGCTGGAACCCATTGCTAGCTAAATGAGATTCTTAAAAATAATTCTTAAGAGTATGGGCAGAGAAGTATTAGAAATTAGACATTGTCATCATAAACTACCAAAAGCTGTGTTGGTAGAAGATAATCTAATGCAATATTCTGGGGGAAAATAATTGCCAAAATCAATAAATTTTGATTTAAACTATAAATAAATTTGTATGCTTTTCTCCTATTAATGAATTACTGTTTACAAATCTTTTTTCTTTCATTGTGTAATGTGGAGTTAAAATATTTTTTTCTGTTAAGGAATATATATATATATATATATATATATGAGTGTGCGTGTGCAGAATTTATACATATGTGTGTATACATGTATATGTACACATATGTATATACAAAATACATGTGTACAAATGCATATGTATAAGGTAACTGCTGAAATAAGAAAGGAAACCGTTTATTTTTTTATTGTTATTATTATTATTATTATTATTTATTCATGAGAGACATGGAGAGGGAGAGCCACAGGCAGAGGGAGAAGCAGGCTTCCTGCAGGGAGCCCGATGTGGACTCGATCCCAGGACCCCGGGGTCACACCGTGAACCAAAAGCAGATGCTCACCCAATGAGCCCCCGAGGGGTCCCAAAAAAGGAAACTTTAAAAAGAGAAAACAATTTTAACCCCTTTGCTATAAAGCACAGAGATCAAAGCCCCAGGCAATCAATACTTCCCTAGTTATCACTTCCAGGGGGTTCTGCTAGGGAAGGGGAGGTGAGAAGGAGGGAGAGCGGAGGAGAGCAGACCCAGGGGAGAGTGAGGCCGGGCGGGGAAGGCCAGCCCGGCCTCCTGTCCCCGGCCACCCAGGGCCTAGTGCCCCGGGCCCAGGCTGCCAGGCCATCTCCATCTGAGTGCGCCTTTTGTACGCTGCCTATTTCTCGCAGTCTCCTTTCTCCCGGGTGGGTTTAAAGATCCTGGTTTCAGTGTTGACCCACTTGGCTTCTAGATTGCATCTGATTTACCACATTTAGTTGACGCGTCTGTTTATGGGCAATTTCCTCATTATGAAAGGTCCTCTCCTTTTTTTTTTTTTTGTTTTGTTTCCTCCAAAGAAAGACCTTTTTGTGTTGCTAATGAAGGCTCTCTGAAACCCGTGGAGTTTGCTGGAGTGTGTGCCTGTAGTTTTCCTTTTGAGAAACTGCTATTGTTGCTTCTAAGTGCACCTGGATGTCTAATACCGTGTTTTATTTAACAAGCCATCCTGGAAGTCTAAAAGTCATTGTTATTTTATCTTTATGCTGATAGTTTTCTTCCTGACCTTTGCATTCATTAAACAATTTCCCCTAGAATCCAATGTCTACAGGACATATATCGACATACAGATCAATAGAGGAGTCTTGTCTATAAATATGTACACAAGTCTGTACCTCAGTCTACTGCACCTGCATGTCTCTCTCTCTGGCATGTCTGTAATTGTGCCTTTCCTCTCCTCCAGCAAGGACATAAATTGTGCAGTTGATGCCAATGTGCTCTCTCCTGTAGAAGCGCCAGCCTACTCCTAACACGGAGAAATTTCCCCATCCTGTGGACTCTTAGGATATTGCTACTGAAGTGAAAGCCGTACTGTGTTCTAGCAACTATACTCAGGAATTCATTTGATAAGAAGAGGATGATTCCTTTAAAGGGGAATTTTTACAGCTCGTACTATCTCCGTTTAGAAGACACTGTGCCGGGCATTATCGTCAGCATCTTACATGGGCCATTTCATCTCATCATTCTAGTAATTCTGTAGACTAGGGACTCTTACGTCTCCACCTCACAGAGACCACGACAAAGTCTGAGATTGAACTGAGCGTCAAATTCAGTCCCTTGGATAAAATATTTTTTGCCTCAGGTCTTCCACATAAAATTCAACAAGAAATAATGGTATTATTAATATAAAATAATAACACGAATTTACGTTCATTGAGAACCAACAGTGTGTCAGGTACCGTCCAGATCCCTTAAATATTCCTCATTATTTTGCCATTCTCTCAAAGCCTTCATGGTAAGAGGTTGGGAAACATTAAGGTCAACAGCTTATCAACCACCAAAAAACATACTGTGAATTGAGGTCATTCCTGTTCCGAAGCTTATGTGGTTCCCACTATTAGTCATCAAGCCTATAAGAAATCACCCCAGAAATGTAAGCTTTTCTCCTTAGCAAATTTGGTAAGATCAGCTACAATTAATATACCTCTGCACCAGCAGCCCCATCTCCCCAAGGGTAGACAAGAGACAGATGGGGAGATCTTAATGGTTCTCTCTTATAATTCAGGTTTGCTTTTAGTAGCTATTAAGTATTAATTAAGAATTAATGGACTCCCATGTGTCTGCTCTGAGAAAAAAAAAAACACAAATGGCTTTTTGGAATTACTTAGATCTAAAGGGCTTGAAAAGGGAGTCTCATTTTGATTGAATTAACTAGAGGTGTCATCTGAAAAGGATTAACTCAATCATCTACCAAACACTTCAGACAAATAAAAACTTTTCCTGCCTGCCTTCCTTCCTGAATTCATTTTTACTTATTCCATAAACATTTCCTCAGTGCTTCCTTACCTGCAAATCTGGCAGCAGGCGTGCGCCCTGGCAAGCCACCGAATTCCTGCACGGTGTTCCCGCAGCGGAGGGCCCGGGCCCCTGGGCAGAGGACTGAGGGGAGGCTTTCTGGGAGGCCTGACCTGTGCCCAGATGCGGGGGGCGGGGGCAGGGGTCCTGTGACAGGTCAAGATGCCAAAGGCCCTTGCGGGGAGGCATCGCGTGCTGGGCCGAGCAGAAATCCAGGACCAGGGAACGGTGAGGTGAGAGAGAGCTGCGGCCCAACACAGCCTGGGCTTAGACGTGTGTGTGTGTGTGTGTGTGTGTGTGTGTGTGTGTGTCCGCGCCTCAAGTGTGAGGCTAAGGAGTGGAAGGTCCACCTGCAAGCTGTGCGCCAGGGCTCCCGGGCCCTCCGCCTCAGCGCCCCCCGGCCCTCCCGGGGCAGGTGCCAGGGCCCAGGGCCGGGCCCAGTGACGCCCCCGGCCCTCTGGGCTGAGCGGGACTTTCACATCTTTGGAGGGTCACAGAAGCAGCAACGGAAGAGGAGGAAGGAGAACAAAGACGAGGAGGAAGGAGGAGGAGGAGGAGGAGGAGGAGGAGGGAAGGGGGCAGCAGGAGGGGAAGGGGGAGGCGCAGCCAA